AACCAGAAAGCGGTTTCCTTTTCTTAGCCACCTTCCCCTCTGGCCTTTTCCCTCCCATCTCCTCAGTCTCCAGCCTCCCAGCCTTTCCCCTACTGGCTCCCTGGGAAAGTCCTTTCACAAAGTGCTTGGTTTGGGGAAGCATAAAAATGAGTGTAGTTCTATCCTAGTAGATTACCCTGCCTTAGGGGATAATGCTAGAAGCCCTCAGTAGACTGCTCTCATAGCAAATAGCATAGAAACCAGGAAGGCCACCAGGACATTCTGCTGGTGCAGAAGGCTCTGTCTAGCTGTGATGGGCAGTGTCAGCATCATCCACTGGACCCAGAGCATCTGATGACTTGGAGAGGCAGTGTTCCAGGTGCATCCTGGGTATGTGTTGAGAGGAGGCTGGTGTCAGTCTATGGACTTCAGCATGGCCACAGGCAACATCTATTTGCTGGGGACCAGATGAAGAAAAGAGCCAAAGCAACTCGCACTCTCTCCTGGAGCTGTAACACTGCCCTCCTCCTGCCTTTGGGCATCAGAACTGAGGCTGTCTGGTCTTGAACTCAGGGCTCTCATCACTGGCACTTGGGTTCTCAGGCCTTCTGCTTCACACTGAGAGTCACACCATCCACTCTCTTGTTTCCAAGGCTTTCGGACATGGACTGAGCCAAGTTACCACTGTCCCATAGTCCCCAGATTTACCCTCCAAGACCATACACACCATGCCCTAATAAATGCTCTGTCATATGTCTGTATCTACATCCTCTAGACATTGTCCATGGAGAACCCCAACAGATATCCTAAGGCTGGAATTGGACTGACTCTCACAGCACACAGCCATTTACCAGCAGAGACGTTGTTCTCAGCTGACTCAGCTCAGCACTAAGGCTGTCATCGGCAAACACAGGATGTCATACAGGAGACAAAACTAGGAATCTTGCAGGTCCCCAAACATCTGGAGGTAAGCAAAATTTTACACTGGATGCCTCAAGCACTCTATGTACTGAGATGCAAGACAGCTAGAGAATTCTGATCACAGATGTATATTAACATCTTTCTGTCTAATGTCCCTTGCCTTCTTTCAATCCCTATAAAAGGACCCACTTCTCTTTGCTCCACATAGATGGCCTTTTCATCCTCGGTCTGCCTGAATCAAGTATTAAACCATATGCCTTTTTGCTTTCACAAAATTGTGTCAAGTGGTCTCTGCCTTGTTCCTTACATCAACCCACCCAAATCTCTCAGTGCAAGACCAGTGCAAGTGTTTTGTAACGCCTGAGTCATGATTAGAACAAGCAAACAATTCTGTTCATGGTAACAGCAAAAACTCTTAGTTACCTAGGACTAAATTAAAAAACAGAAGTGTAATAAGTTTGTGAAAAATAAAAATGCAGTGATGAATATCTTTAAAGATCTCTGGGAAAGGTCTCTTAGTCTCTTCCATCAAGGAATTGTATAATTTTAGTAGCAGCACTTTGAGTATTTGAGTCTGGTATGTCATGTCCTGCCCTTTATTCTTTGCCTTTAAAATTTGTCGTTCTTGCCCAATATTGTTTTCAGATTGGGCCACATTAGAAAAAAACAATTGTGCATGTAAGTTTTGCCCTCAGCCACATATTTGGCTGAAATCTCCTTGACTTTACCGCTCAATTGAGGAGATCTAGCCAGGCCACCAAAGGAGACCTGTTATCTATCAAAACTTAGTCTACTAGAAAATAAACAAGGTTTAGGCAATTGGCTTTGCATTTGGAAAAATGATACCTTTAGATTCCTATAATTCCTACCTTGATTTATGTATCAAATCATTTTCAGATGGCTCAAGAAACTATAAATATGGCAAGACTTTAAAAACTTTCAGATGAAAATATAAGAAAATATTTTTATGACATCATTTTGTGGATTTCAAAAACCACAAAGAAAAATTGCACAACTAAAAGATGAGATTTCACTAGTTTAAAACCAGCTAGGTTTTATGTTCAGGGAAATATAGTAACAATAAATGTATGTTTAAAATTAGATATCAAAATGTAAAATTTCCATTCAACCAAAGACACAGGGATTGTACACAGCAGGTTGGCCCTGGGCTCGTACTGACGATACCTATGGACTTCACTGTGATGTGGCCTCCCTATCTAGAAGAGACTGGTGAACATTGGGCTATGTGAGAGACCAGTGTCCTCCTGTCAGGCCAGAGCACCAGCTCTGCCTCTGGCCAGGGTCCACTGAGGCCATTGTGGACACCCTGCAGCACTCAGGGAATGGCTTTAACACTGGGGCTCAGCACCTTCACATGACGCCAAGGCTCCCTTGGGAGGAGTCGCAGAGACAATCACAGGTCAAGAGGGTGTGCAGAGTGACTCAGCAGCCTCAGCAAGAACACCCGAGGCCAGCTTCTTGGTGTTTTCCACCAGCTTTCGTGGAGTGCAGGGTGTGTCCTGCGCCTGCTGACTGTTCCCTGCCCAGGACATGCATTTTGCTTCTTGAGCCCACAGAGAGGTGCGGTGAGGCAGGACGCTGTTTTCTTTCCCTTTTGTGACCATGGAGGGTCTATGGGAGCCAGAGGAGTAGTGAGGAGTAGTGAGGAGCTGACCGCTTCCCCATGTTACTCTATCATCTGTCAGTGGGCACTTGGTCTTCTGGTCAAGAACTTGAGCTTGTGCTGGGCCACTACCCATTTGAGTGGCCACAGGCTGCAGAATGAACAATGGCATTTCCCACCCAGTTTCCAGGGAGGCATCTCAGCAGCTGGGTGCTCACCACACTGGGAAAGAGGCTGTGTTGCACTTTCCATAAGCGGGCTGGAAGAGCGCCCATAGGGAACGAGCTGGATGCCCAGTACATGCTACCTGAAGGCTGAGTTAGGAAGTCATGTATGTTTCAATGAAAACTAAGCCTGTATTTTTATGCATATGTACCTCAGACTCATGTGGGTTTTTTGGACTATTAACTTTTGCAGAGATTTCTGAGACAGTGTAAGGGAAACTTTAAAATGCCATTAAGTGCTGGAGGCCCCTTATGGAGTGTGGCTGTGGGAAAAAAGTCACCCTCCCACAAATCTATATGGAAACAGTCCGGAGATGCAGTTACACTGCCAAAACTAGTACACTCAGTTTTCTTATCAGAAAAATATATTTTTCAGAAGTGGTAACTGTCAAATGTAAGTTTAGTGTCATCACCTGTGTATAGTTTCTTTGTTGCTGGTACAGTATACCCTACATCCACAAGTTAAGGAAGATGAGATTTATTTTGACTCTCAGTTTGTAAAGGTGTATGTCCTCTGGTTGGCTCTAAAGCAGACAGCAAGACAGAGGAGAAAGACAGGTAGGAAGCAGAGAGAAAGAGACAGAGACAGAGATGAGAGAGAGAGAGAAAGAGAGAGAGAGAGAGAGAGAGAGAGAGAGAGAGAGAGAGAGAGAGAGAGAGAGAGAAAGATCAAGGAAGGAAGATAGACCTTCCAGGCCACCTCTCCTCCTACCATATTTATCTATAAACTCCTAGTGGGCTAATCCATTGGTAAGTGTCACCCCCCAGGATCCAATCACCTCTCCAAAGCCCCACCTATGATTGTTCAAAGCTTTGAGGGCACACCTAGATGTGAACTATAACAAAGCACTAAAGAGGTGGATAAGAGAGAGCTGCCCTGTGCCGTCAGTGGGGAGGACATCTGGAGCCAAGCCAGCTCTGCAGCTATCGGGACTCCTGCCCCAGATGGCAGCCTACTTCTGGCTCTGCCCCAGGCCACTCCCCTCTGTGTGGCAAGGGGGACCCTTGCGTGAAATGGAAATAAGCACAGCACTTTCTAAAACAGAAATGGACACCAAGCCAAGTATGAACCCATGAAAGTTTGTGCTGTCGCTCTGACAGTCACATCTACGATGACATACTAAGGTCACAGTCCTAGCTGAGAGTGGTGTGCAAGAAGTGCATGTGGTGCACTGTATTGTGCAAAACAGTTCCATGGCTGTTTAGGGAGCTGTCAGCATATATATGTGCGAGCTCTGTCCTCTTAGAACAGTGCTTGTCAAGTTTTTTTCCCTAAGCAAGAAAGTCATTCGCTAGTTATTTTTTATAAAAGTGTGCATAAAATATTTAATAATGTAGATAATGCTCAGGATATTATCATAGAGTTTTGTGGCTACAGAAATATGGAAAGCACAAAAAAAACTATATACCAAAATGTGCATATTGTGTCAAAGGGGGAGGGACATCAAATGGAGACTGAAGAAGAGTAGATAATGTCTCTGTACATTCTCTTTATTAAAGACCTGGAAGAAATTCACAAAATATTAATTCATGTTAAGTCTGAGGTTGGGCAGATGCATGTTTGTTATACTACCTTTTACTCATGTCTTCCGGCTGCAGAGGGGGCAAGCTATTTGTACTTTCTTTCTAAGTAGCAAGTCTTTATGTGCAGGAAGAGTTTTCAGAGGATGAGGATGAAATGCTTCTCACCTCTTTTCCTCTAAGAATTAGAAGAGTGGGACCATCCCTGGCCACAACAGAGATGCTCACGAGTAAGTGCAGGAACGGCTCAGGAAGTAGAAGGCCTGCCTGGGCCCCAAGGTGAGTGCTGAGAGGTGCTGCTGGACTCTGTCTTCAGGAAGAGTTAGGAGGTCTTAGCACTGGACTGGCTGTCATGAAGGAGCTAGCTTCCTGGCCTTCATTCTTGCCTCCTTTCACTGTAAGATCTCTCTGTTCATTCCCAGAATATTATGTCAGCTGCCACAGGGCCCTCACCAGAAAATGGTGCTGTTGACACTGTGCTTTTATACCTCTACAGCTGTGAGCTCAATAATCCTTTTCCTTTAAGAGGTTCCCAGCCCTGGTATTTTGTTATAGCAACAGAAAATAGAAGACAGTGCTGTAAGCAGACAGAAGGATGAATGGACACAGCTGTGGTCAGGACCCTTGAGCTGTACTGCAGTGACAAGAAGGCCCAATTCATGTCTCATGGGAGTCATTTGCTGTGACACCAGGAGGCTCTCACAGGTTTCTTTTTCCATAGATGGGTCCAGTGCTCCAGGGTGCATCCATCCTGTGACTCCCGCCTGCTCTGGACAGGACCAGAGGACATGTGGACATTAGTACATTGACCCCAAATGCTTGTTCCTGGAAGTAACATGGTGTACATCTGCTCCATTGCCTAGAACAAGACCTATGGCTTCATGCAGGTACACAGACACAGAATGATCCTCCTGATTGGCCATGTGGAAGGGTCCAGAGGCACCATCTACTTAGGGGGGCCTCCCACCTGGGGCCCTTAGGGCCTCTTACTGAGGGGAATCATCCTAAAGAGTTCATGAGGCAGAAGAAGCAATTGACAGGGAAGGAATGGCCACAGAGGGCAGATGTCTTGACATGTCATACAAAGGGGGCCCAAGTCCCTGGCGCCCATGATTCTTCCAGAAGTTGAAGTCAAGACTGTGCTCCTGGTGAGGCTCAGGATTCCCTGAGTGACCCATACTCTCTTTCCAGCTTGCAGTGGCTGATGGGGGACATCACTCAGACTGGATGTAGAAGCACCTGGGGACCACATCACCTTCAAGCTAACGACAGAGACACTCATGAATCAGGACAGTGTTTCCTTCTCACCAGTGTTTTAAAGACAGAGTAACTTTTTGCCAGAGGTACTATTTATATTAATGATATTGGGCTGGAATTGGCACTTTTTCTGTAGATGTTGTTGAGCAACCTGGTGGAAAGTTCCTGGTACTCACAATAAGCATGGCACGGGGTGTTCTGGGCTTTCCTTTCAGACTCATGGATCGGGCTGCTGGCTGTACTATGGCTTATAGCTAACTGTCCACCTGAATCCTGTACTGTAGCTTGTCCCTCTGAAATGCACCAGTGTCTGGCTTGGTGGGAGACTTTCAGACTCACTGACTTGCAGAAGGCTGAGGAGGTCATCGGGCCCCATGATGGGGAGAGAGAAGGTGGCTGACACATGGGTCACATAGACAGCCAGGTGAGCTCCTAGCCTTCATTTGCAACAGGGCATTCTACATTCCGAGCCAAGGTGGAGCCAGAGGAAGGGCTGGGGACAGGCTCAGGCAGCATCCAGCTGGGGAGGAGGTGCTGGAACAGGGCTGCTGGTCCAGGGTGCTCATCCCTATGGCCTCCAGCTATGCTCTGGTGCCTTTTGTGACTCTCCTCAAACGTGTGTCATTGACTGCAAACATAGCTTAGAGACAGGAGTGAGCTAATGAGATTGCAGGAAGTCTTGCTGGGTTCTGCTTCACACCACAGTTCATCACATCACCACCGAAGCCACGGGCTCTCTGTAGGGCATCTGCCCAAGGCTGTATGCCTCAGAGCCTACCATCGTGGACCTGTTGATATGAGCCCTGTCTGTCTTGATGTTGCTCTGTGGGCCCTGCCTGATGGACTGCTGGTGAGTCCTGCCTATGTGGGTCCTGCTTGCTGCCCGGGCTCTGTGTGTCCTGCCCTTGGCTCTCCAATTTCCTGTTTCTGAGCACTCCTTGTGGCTGCTCCTCACGTCTGAGGGCCATGCTGCTTATCTCTATGCATCCAGCTTCCTGCACACCAGACTGGACATGGCTCGCTGTCCCTGGGACTTCAGAAGTGACTTCTGATTGCAGTGTCCTTTCTCTCATTCTGTTTCATTTTCATTTTATGTCTCACACTCTATCTCTGGAGAACTTAAACTCCATGATGGCAGAAACACCAGCCCTTCAGATGTAGCCAGTGGTGCCCCTGGCATGTTTCTTAACCTCTGCGCATCACCTCGCCTGTCTTCTCATCATTCTGATGAGATTATGTGGCGCCTGCCTTCTGAGGCTGTCAGGGAAATGAGTGGGCTACCTGCATGTGAGTGCCCTAGTGACATCTTCTAGGCTCAGAACATTGCCATGTCCTGAGCACTATCACACTGTCATGATCTCTGTCTGATTTCATATTGCAGCATTGCACATGGTTACCAGTGACACTCCTCACACACAGGAGTGTCGCTGGTGTTTGGGCAGGGCCGTGGCCTCAGCTCAGCCCAGTGCAGGACAACCTGTGTCCCAGCCTATCTTCCTCCTGGAGCACTGAGTCCTTTCCTTTCTAGATCACACAGTGGGAAATTGTTGGGAGCCGCCGACACCGGTCGCCTTACTTGGCGGACGTAGGGCCTGTGGGTGGGAGCGGAGCCTGAGCTAGATTGCCCCTCCCATCGAGTGAGTCAAGTTGGCGCCTGCTTCCTGCCCCCTGATTGCGCTGGCGACTTAAACAACCCGCTCTGTAAGATAGTCTGCCTAGCAACAACTGATGTTAGCCAATCAGCCCGCATCGCGCGCTTTGAACTGATTGGCCACTGTCACCCTATAAAAGTGAATGCCTCTCCCGCCACGAGACAGGAAGCACAGAGAGAGATAGAGAAAGTCCACCGGCGAGAAAGGGCTGGTGGCAGAGAGGAGGCCTCGCGGGGCCCACGCGGAGACAAATAAAGGCAAGGTTGCACACCGCCAGACTTTGTCGTGTGTCTTTCCTGCCGGCCGGGAGCGACCCCGACAGGAAATAAAAACTCCAGAGTCTTCCCCAGAGACACCTGACCAGCACAGGTGCTGCTCTGTCTAACATTCACTAAATGCCACCCAGCCAGGCACAAGTGCCTCCTGCCTGTCTCCTGGGTTTCCAGCAACTCTAAGAATAAGGCATATGGCTGGGTTCCACATGTTCCAAGTGGATCACCTGCAGGGGCTAATAGAAAAGGACAAATCTGGATGTTTCTCCGCTTTGAGGCTGGGTAATGTGTAGTGACGGTAAAGGGGCCAGGAAGTCACTTGCCCTCGGATGCCTCTGCTGGATGTTGATGGGATCTGCATCCTGCTGCTTGCAACCAGAGGGAATGAAGGGTGAAGGTGAAACCCCCACACCAAGGAAGTGGTAGAGAACTGATACTCCTCCACCCAGACCTGCAGCTGGACATTGGGAATGTGGTCTGAGGCTGAAGTGGTACAATTTTCCCACAGGTATCACTAAAACACATTCCTGTTCCAATCCTCTTCCAGAGCATTCCCTAAAACTCTCTTATAAAGGAGCCGGATGCAGGGAAGGGGAACCAACTTGGTGGAGGCCAGTGATGGAAGGTGTGCGATTCTGGGGCATGGAGTATGCTGGTTGCCATTTTTTACCCTGTTCTTAGTCACAGCGAATAACCATCTGTGGAACCCTTCCCAGATCTCAGCCCTATTTGTTGCAGGTAAGGGAAACACAGAAGAAAAATGGGATGCAGGTGTTCCTGCCTGGGGTATGTGTGTGGGAGAGCTGTTCCCAATTCAATGATTCTGGAACAAGCCCTGTCTCATCCGGCACTGGTCCAAGCTCCACTGATGAGAAGATTGGAGCTGGCTCTCCTTTATCACACCTTCCATACTGGCGTGCATCTGCATGCAGAAGCCCTGGAGAAGTCCTGCCATTGCTGGTCTTTTTAACCCAGGGTGGCCTGAACTTTTCTGATTACAAAGAGTAATTTTTAAAATATTAATTGAACAATAGTATAAGCATTCTTCGTCGTATTTTGATCCACTGTGGATGCTACAGATTTAATCAGGGCTTTGAGGCACAGCCAGCCAAGTTCACCTTGAGCTGACTGCAGGGTCACCTCTGAATCCAGGCATCTGTCACTCACCAGTTGGGGCTGGGTCACCTTTATAGCCCACCATCCACTATGGCTCATCCATGGCATCTGCCAGCTGTCTGCGTGGAGAGCCGTAGAACTCAAGGAATATCATGAGGCAGAGAAGTGTACTTTCTCCTCAGCAGTTCTCACGTGCTTGGAGTGAGCATGTGCACACATGTTGCAAGTGAACAGTGTGGCAGGATGGGGGGTTGGAGGCTGGAGGGCCTCAGGGAGAGGAGACAGGAGGACACATGTGCCATGCAGTGCCCTTCCTCCTGTGACCAGACACTATTGTTGTACAGTCCCTTTCCCTCTACCCTCAAGGGCACTCCATTCCCTGGAGGCTCTTGCAGGACAGCACCATGGACATCGTCTGCCCTTCCACACCTGCCTGTACCAACAGCCTGCAGCCTCCCGGGTCCAGGCTATGTTAGGAGTTTGCCGAGACCCTGATGGGGAGGGGGCAGCATCTTCCTGGGCCCTGGGACCCAGCATCTTCTGTCCTGTCCATGGTGACTGGTGTTGGAGCCTTCTTGGGAAGAGTGAAGGACCTGGCTAGGGAGCTGCTTGTGGTCCAGTCAGTGAGATGCCCACTAAGGTGCCATACCAAGGTGTCATCGTCCTCTTTTCATAGGACAACTCACTCTACTTACTCCTGTGTGTCGCCTTGCAATTAGAGGAGTTTTAGAGTATGGTTCATTGCTTCTACCATTCCAGCTAAGAATTTTCTTCTGGTTGTCTTTTCTCTAGGTTTAGGGGACAGCCCCAGCTTGGGGAGCCTCTCCCACTGAACAAGCAGGTTCACCCCTGAAAAGAGAAGGCTGGTGTCTGATTCAGGTGTGGGCTTCAGGAAGACTCAAGCCAGGGCATCCAGGAGACCAACTACCAAGTGTACCCCAGGCCTCAGGGGCAGCAGCCCAGCCTCTGTCCACCCACTGACTCCTCCTGCTAACACATGACCCTGCTCTGGAGACATCCCATCCCACATCTCTCATCTTAGCTCTGGTACCCCCATGACATTCTTGGGGAAGTCACTCTTTGATGTTCATCCACTGAGTGTCACTATTTCAGCTGAGTATGTCCCTTGTGTCTGTTCTCTCTGAGAACAAAAGATGACAGGCTGAAGTTCTTTTCTTGTCCTGCTGGCTACCACTTGACAGTGAATTTCTATAAGTCAATTAGCACCTCATGGTGTACATCTTCGTATGCATCCAGAGCGATGCTTATCCTCACGATTCAGCATGTAAATAAACACACAGAGAACATGACTTGTGCTGTAGTCTGTAAGTTGACATCTGGTAAACACCAGCTTTTCATGAAATGACTCCACTGTAAATAAGCCATTCTGTACCACAAAGAACATGGCACATGTTGTACGTTCCTTCCAAAATGCTCTTTTATGCTGCCTTTAAAACTAAAAATGCTAAACTCCATAGCTAATCAACTTATTACTTGTTAGAGACCTGACATTTCCAATAATTGCTTTATAAAGGGCAGTGAATCGTGTCACATCCTGTGTGGCCTCTGATGGGACAGCAACTTTAACTCACAGTTGCCTTCTGAGCACCCACTGTCTGCAGGGGCTGCTCCTACTGAGCGGGGTGCTGTGTCTCTGCGGGGTGATGGGCTAAGTGGTCTTGGACTGAGTCCTTTCGCTTGCCTTTCACAGGAAGGGAGAGAAGCTGGGGGAGATGAGCATTACCCTCAGAAACTTGGTCCCTAGCTGATGTCACTGTTGTCAGATGTCACAGTCCTGTACCCGCCCCAGCTTTGCTCCATGGCTGGCATGTCACGTGGTGCGGAAGCAGGCCCAGTCTTCCGTGTGCTCAGGGGTGTACCTGTTCCCATCCATCCCACGACTCTGTCCTCTTCTCATTTTCAGTAAGCATCATTCCACAGATTTCTCCCCCACTAGTCAATGATTTGAAAAGGTTCTAGAGTATTCCATCATTAATTTAGGTGGCACTGTGCTGTTGGACATTCAGTTTTTAAGTGCTTATTAATGTTCTTAAAAAACAGAAGTGCCCATAATTAGGGTACTACCTTAGTACATACTAAATTGTTCCACCTGGTTTCATTTCTCTTCTCAACACGGGTTAGCTCTGTGGGCTGTTCATCCTGAAACCACTGTCACTCATTCTGGGACCCCACCTGCCCTCCACAGAGTGTGCTCCTATGGGCGAGTACAGTCCCAGCAAGGGGCCCTGTGGCCTTCCCCCTCAGTGGTGAGACACAGCGTCCAGTCAGACCTACATAGCACCTGTCCCTTAGGAGTTAAACCTGAGGTGTAGAGCAGCAGCCTCCTGAGACCTCATATTTCCACCAGCGGGAGTCAGGCAAAGCCTGCTCTCCTCCGTGGGGTAGTGTCCAGATACCTGGCACCAGATATCCAGTTTGTCATGTCCCCCCAGCAGTGCATGTCAAACTCTAGAGGAAAGAAGGACTCTGAGGAGCCACAGTGGGTCCAGATGGTGCCACCAAAGTGCAGCTCAGAGGCTTCTTGCCCTCCTGAGCCATCTCTTTTGAAAAGCTTAGTGCAGACACATGGGTAGAAAACACGCATTGTTTGTTGGCAGAAGGGGCCCTTTGGTAGCAGCAACAGGAGAAAGAGCCTGTAAAGCTAACTAGAAAATGCAAGAAATGCAAAAACCCAGCAGCAGCAGACTGGGCAGACTGTGGAAAGATATAAACTTGGGTCCAAGAGCTGCTTTACTGTGTAGCAAGCTGTGGCCTGGAGTCAGCAAGGAAAATTACATGGTGGCTTGGGGTGAGGATTTGTGTTTAAGGCAGAACTGTGCAACTTTTGTTAAAATCATGTCCATGGAGTAACTAAATACAAAATAGTGCTGGAACTTTGGCTGCACATGCACCCGGCCTCCCTGCCAGGGAAGAACCTTCAGATTTGTGCCCACAGCTAACCTTCCATGAGAGGCAGGCAGCTAGGCAGTGTGCAGCGCCCTCTTCTGTCCTGGCTGAATGAAGACATTCAAACTCTGGTGGTTTGATGCCTCTGAGGCTGATTGGGAGGAAGTTTTTTTTACCGTGATGAAAAAGATAACTGCTTTGCATTTCTGAAAGATTCTGCATGGCTCCTGCCTCCTCCCTTCTTTAGGTCCTAATCTAAGGCCTGGTTTTTCAAGAAGGGCAGCCTGCCCACCATGGTGCTGGGAGGGTTGTCAGTCAGGGCTTGGCTCCTCCTAATGAAGGGGTAAAAAGCAGCGCCACAGCTGAGCTGAACAGTGACCTCTGTGGTCACTTGCATGGGTGAAGGTGGGAGCTGGCAGCCTCCTGAGAGTGACTAGGACCTCTGAGTCCCTGCATTTCTGTTGGACTATGCTCAATGGCTAGCACATCCTTCAATTCTATGACTTGCCACTTTCCCTAAAGAACATGGTTCCTTTCACTGGTCTGTCAACATTAACCAAATACCTATATACAAAGGGCACTTGGAAGCTGTGGTAGACAGGACCGCCCAGCTGGGTGGACCTGGTGTCCTCTCACTTCAGTGTGCTTCTTGGCCTGCAGAAGCAGCCACCTTCTCATCTGGTCACCCCCATTCTAGTCACAAGTGGCTTTCTTCTCTTTGGGGTCAGTAGTGACTGTAACAGATATGCCTCTCAATGGAAGGAGGACAAACAGCCATATAGGACTGAGGCCTAGGTCATTCCCATCCATAAACCTGTGTTTTCTTCTCACCATGTACAAACTGGCTGACAATAGAGGCCCTGGCTCCTGCTGGGGGTGGGGAACAACTCTTGGAATTGGGAGACATTGATAATTTCTATGCCAGAATGGTGGTAGCTGTGACCGGAATGATTAAATCACCAAAGAGGAGGCTAATGCTCA